AGTATCTGAACGATGTATAAGGAAACAACTGGAACAAATAATTTTTAGGAAAAAAAATGTGAGGTACTAATAAACATCACCATCTGACCTCTCACAATAGTGTAATAAGAAATATGCTCACAAATTAATGTGTTTCTAAAAGAGTGGGATGTCCAGAATAATGTGGAAGGAATCAAAGAATCACACACAACAGATCAGAGAGGGCAGTACTTTACTACTATTAATTCCTTTCCACATTACTCCAGACAATAGAGATGTTTAAAGCAGGTCTACAGAGAAGATGATTAAAAAAAAAAAAAAAGGAAAAAACGGGGGCAGAAAAAGGGGTAATTCAGCTTCAGCACAGAAGATTGTCTGAAGAAAACGTGTTTAAAAGATGCATCAGCAGACAACTGGACCACTGGATATGAATGTCCAGAAAACAAACAAAGCAAAGCTCACATGTTAACAAGACTAGTTATAATGAATTCAATGGCCTTTTCTGCCATAAAACTATGATGGACGAAGTAAACCTAAATGATTTCTCAACACATTAGCCTTCTGTAAGTACTCTCAAATCAGCCCGGATGTGAAGTGGAATTTCTGTGAGACAGTAAACCACAGCTGTATCTTTAAAACAAAACAAAGTCTCTTAAAGGCAAAACTGTGAAGAGACTCACATTCTTTTATTTTTCAGGAAAAAAAAAGAAGTGAAAACACTATCCTGTAAGAGAAAGAAGAATAGTAGTGTAGGATCTCAGCTTAAAAAAATTTACTTCTCTTTGGAAAACAAATGAAAGCTCTGAAATACCATTCAGACTCTGATGATGAAAAGGAAAAAGTGTCTGCACAGTATAAACCTCTACAACATTAAAAGCAAACAAACAGAAAAAAAAAGAGTTTTCTAACCTGGAGTTTATAAAACCACCAAGATTCAGTTTGGTGAAGCACTAAGATGTTGCCCAGAGAGGTGACAGATGCTCCATCCCTGGAGACATTCAAGACCAGGCTGCTCTGAGCAACCTCATCTAGTGGAAGGTGTTCTGCTCCTACCTTGGGGTTGGACTGGATGAGCTTAAAGGTCCCTTTTCAACCCAAACCATTCTATGATCATTTTTACATTGATGAGAACAAAACCAAAAATAAGCAAATCTAAAATATTTTGCTCCCTTTCCCCCCATTTCATAGTTTTAATTAGAGGGGAAATTTATAGCAAATGCCTTCCTTTGCTGTTTTGGTAGTAAGCCTAAAATCACACATGATCATTTTTACATTGATGAGGACAAAACCAAAAATAAGCAAGTCTAAAACATTCTGCTCCCTTTCCCCCCATTTCATAGTCTTAATTAGAGGGAAATTTATAGCAAATGCCTTCCTTTGCTGTTTTGGTAGTAAGCCTAAAATCACAGTTCACAAGGAGCCAAGAGCACTTGGTATTTATGTGCTGTACTGCTACTAAGAACACATAAGATGTTTTCCAATCAGATGATAATTTACATTAGGATACTACAGGATTTTGAGGCAGTCTAGAGCATCTAACTAATGATACATGAAAATTAATACTAGACTGGATTAGCATTATGGTGTCTGTGACCTTTTGCTGCTGCAGGTAAAATGTGAAAGGCAGTTAACTATGCCCAGATAAAGAACCTCATCCTACTTAGGTCCATACAGTTACCTTTGCACTAGTTGAAACCAGGAGAAATTAAGTGGATTAAGTGAAGGAAATATCAGTTGTGAACTCAATGGTTTTTGTTCCTTCAGACTTTTATACTATATAGTAGCTAAAAATCCCAAGATTTAGCATCTAAGATAGGTGATATCAGATAAATCTGATGTCACATTTAAGAAAATACTGTGACAATTCATACTAAGCTCTGCAAGAAAAACTCTTCAAGGAAGGAGACAGATCATAATGTGAGATTAGTCTATTAAATCAATGACTTCCTAGAGGTTCCACCACTCCAGCTGCATCCTAACAATGCAACACAGACTGTTTACTGTCTTATGGAACTGTGCTGCTCCTTAAAGGAATGCACTTATAAATTATGATGTTCTCTAACTCCTGTGACACTGCCAGAGTTCCTTTATAAGGTACCTACTTCAAGGCTTCAAGTGAAGCCCACAGCACAATTTTCCAGTACTGATCATAAGAATTGAAGCAAGAAGAGACCTTCAGAGATTGGTAGCTCATGAAACCTATTTCCTCTAGCTCAGATGACAACACATGATTCTTAGCCATTTATTGCAGCTTAGGGGCAAATGGAGTGGAAAAAAGAATATTTCCTTACATTTTCCCCCCTGGCCTTATAAACAAATGAGTTATGGCTATGTTATTTTGTTTGTACTTTATTTTACTTATATAAAGTAAATAATAACCAGTAATTGAATTTTTATTAAAAATAATGTCAACTGAGTTGTTAGCTGATAAAATATAGTCACTCCTAAAATATTCTCCATACACATTTTCACCAATGACATCTAGAATTATGTCATAGCTTGTTCTCATGAGCTCTCTTACACTTCTGCAAAACAGCCATCTACCTGCTTGAAAGAAAGAACCCTGTAGTTACAATCTTTCTAAACTTCACAAGTCTGTCTTTGGACTTATATCAGAAGATTTTAATACCTGGGGTTTAATTTAACTCCACTACAAAAATCCTTCCCCAGCAATTTATGCACACTCTGATAAAGATGTCTTTGTCAAGTCAAAAAACGTTACTCCCAAATAAAACAAAAGCTGTAAGCTTGAAGGCTGGCTTCAAACACACTGAGGGAGAAAATTCCCTTTAGTTTGTTTTCCTGGGGCTACACAGAATCTGGGATTACCAGGCACAGGTGTGTCAAGGTGTACAAAAGTAGGAAAAACAGCACAAAAAAAGCACAGGGGATTTCAGGTCAGCAAAATTATCTTCATGCCATGATAGATTTTATTTAATAGAGAATTTCTTTTTTTATGTACTAACCACCAAATGCAGGCATTCCCATGCTAAAAGGGAAATAATGCCATGCTAAAAGGGAAATAATTGAGTACGTCAAAATGAATAAATGTTTTTCACTAAAAATTAGAAAAGCAATGTGAAAGTGAACAGGTTGGTTATGATGCTGCTCTGAGTTCTCTATTTGGAGAGTTTCTACTTTTTTAGGAGACAACTAAGAAATAAGAAGTGCCTGTAAATTATTGTTACTATTATGACAAAACTTATCCATACGAATAACATCCTTAAATGTTTAGAAAAAAAATTATTTACAAGGAATTTATAGCCAGTATTGACAGCTTTCATATAACATGTGTTAAATTGTATAAAACTGAATAAATAAGATCTTGCCAGTTCTGTGTAATTTGTCTTCAGGTAGGGTTCTGGCAGGGAAAAGAATTGCCAGATAACAGAGGTAGTTTGTGCTTAAAAGACTGGAATGGAAGATGAGAAGAAAGAGAGGAGTCTGTTAAGGAGACTTTCCACAGCATATAAATGGACTGGAATTACTCTGGGTATCCCTGAAAATGATTTGAATTTGAAGCTGAAAGCAAAAAGTGCCAATGAAAAGGCTGCAAACTGGAGATGCCAGTTGAGAAAAAGGGAAAAAAATTGTGTGAAGGCAGACCAACATGGCAGAAGTTGAGGTGGAAGAAGCAAAAGATACTGATAAATATCAGAGTGATGAGGTTTGGGATCTTCTGTGAGAGCTGCAACCAGAAACCCCAGCACTGATCACTGCTGGAGGTTGAGCACAGGAACAATGAGTGGGATCACAGCAGCGGGAACAAGTGCTGTGACACAAAAGGAAGGCCATGGCAAACTTCAGGAAAAATGCAATAATTTTTTTTTTTTCAAAATTTAACTTGAATTTTTATTGCTAGACAATTGGTAGACTGAAAGTACACTGCATGTGACTACCTCCAGAAGAGTAGCTGAAACAGAAGTAGATAAAGTTGCTCAGCAGAACATAAAGAAGAAAAATGAGGTTATTATAAACAAAAGTATAGAAACTACCACTAAAAAAAAGCAGTGACTGAGGTACAGATAATTTGAGTAACACAAGAAAAGTAGAGAAAGCAATGACCTTTTTATTACAGCTTAACTGAATGGGTATTTTCTTGGAAAAGATATCTGTAGTTATTAAGCTACTTGGATATTTCCAGGGTATCAGCAATATCTGGAAGGGAATGGAAGCTGTTGGTATATTTATATTTGATTTGCTTTTTATTTAAAAAAATGTACAAAACTCAAATTGACACAGAATATTAAGTGATTAAATTAGGAAATCTGAGATTTTGAAGATGCATGGTACTGAAGAAAGTTACTAATTCTGAAGAAAAAATATTAAAACTAACAAAATGTTTTGTTGTGGTCTCCTACTCTGGCAATGAAAGCATCAGAAAATTGATTGGGTCTTCATCTGTGCAGGCTGATTAAAGCACAACCCTATTGTCTGGAACAATATGGAAGGCAGCTAGAGGAAATAAAATCCACAGAAAACAAAACACAGTCAAAAAATATACACACGTATCAAGATATTGATGTCTTATGCAATAATTACAATGAAATTTTAAAACACAGAAAAGAATCACATGTGAAAACCGTAAGATTTTGCTATTAAACAGCACAGCATCCTGACAGGAATTGTCTATCAAACAGGGGAGCACTGACAATGCTGCACCAAGTCCTTACTCAAGTGCTTCAATGACTGCATTTTTATTTTCTTTGCCTTACAAGCATGGCAGAATGAAGCTAAAGCTTGTATTAAAGTGGAAAATTCTTTGGTTTTTTTCAGTTTTATTTTGATCAAATCAGCATGAGTTCCTTTTGAGTGACATTTACAGGGATTTAATAACATCTGAACGCAGGTTACATTCCACTACCAATTCAGCTTGGCTGTGTGCATTTACCATGTTAACTAAGTCTGTAGTGAAATATTATTTTTGAGCTCTTGTTTTGCAGGCCAGGCTGTGTCAGAAGAACAGAACTCTGCAGTACAACATGCACAATGCTAAATAAATGAGAAGGAAAATTTCTTACCTCCAGCAACTAGCCCAGACTCTCCTAACTGAATTGCTACCCCAAAGCCACCAAGCTTTACTGGGGCTGAATTCTCTTTTGAGGCAAGCAGTACACAGTGTGGCTGAAAAGACAAAAATCCAGACAAATTATTACATTGTTTGAGAAAAACAATCTCCATTTTAGAACGTACTTCCATAATCTGTGAGCAGAGGTTAGATTTTGGTTTTTTTAAAATAATTTCTTAATTTCAATTATCTTCTTTTCTGGCATGGACTCCTCTTTCTACATTGGCTTCCCTTCTATTGCCCCAGGCATAGCAAAATCCTTTCAGAACTTATCAGAACTAGCAAGAAACACAAAAGTGAAACCATGGTAAAATGGAGATAAAAAACTCATGTCTATAATTTCTTACCTGGTATTACTTTTCCTTTTTGTCTTTCATCCTATTAACCCTTACACTGTTTCAATTACCCAGCTGAATTATCCTGCCTATGATATGTTTTGTGGGGTCTTATCCTTCCCACAGAGAACATAAAACTCTGTTTTGAGCCTTAATCACAGAATTCACTCTGCACTTCTCAAGTGCAGGAAAGAAAAGGAACACCCCAGGAATATTCCAATGAGGGATATTCTTTAGGTGTCTAAACTGGATTTCAGGCATAGCCATCTATACCTTTGATTTTCCACAAATAAGGGTGAGGTGTAATGTACAAAAATGATATAATATTATACAACAATTCAGGTGGGTACTGACTGCTGTAGGAGGAAGCAACATACAGACAAAATCTGTTAGAACACAAATTGGTATTAAATACACATACCAAAACAATTGCATTTAATTTAGAACTTCCTGCATTTACTCAAAGCCTCTATTTTCAATACCATATTATTTGAAATTAAGAACCTCAAATTTGTATACTACTTCCTGAGAATACATTACTGCTTAAATTGCAAAACTAAGAACTCAAAAAAGTGCACAGGACCTACCAGAAGTTCCTTCTGACTACCTGCAAAGTTATAATCTCTAACCACCTATGTCTTTTTGTAAAAGCCTGAATTACATGAGAACGAAGACCTTCAAAACAATGGTTTTGAGATCTTAATTTAATTTAGGCCTTGTCATATTAGGTCTTCTAGAATCTACTCTTAAATTTCCAATTTATAAATGTAATTTTCAATTCCTCACACCCCACTTGGAAGAGTATTAGCAGGTGGTATTACTGCTGCATATTGTATTTCACTTCTGCTTCAGTGAAATGGTTAAGATGCACACTTCAGGCACTTTCACATCCTCTCGTCACTGTCATTTGGAGTGGGAAAGAATTCCAATTCCAGGCAAGGAGAAAGGTAGATGGGAGAACTATACAAACATTTACAAAATGTCCCATTACACTGTGGTGGTGACTTATCTTTACCCTCTACTGGAAAAAAGTAATGCTACTTCCACGAAGCATTAAAGAGATGACAGATTGTACCAACATCATCACCCCAAAACCACTGGCACTGCTCACCAGAAACAAAGACTCTGAGAAAAAAAACTTTGAATCTGCAATTCAGAACAAAACTGAGAAAAATTTATTACAGAACCTCTCTCAGCAGAGCCCAAATAAACTGGGTATAGCCAGTTCAAAATGCCTTTAAAAAAACAAAGCAAACCAGTTGCAACACAAGTTAAAACTTCCCCCTGTTGCCAATTGTACAAGTCAGCTGGAGCTCACCACTTTCAGAGAGAAGCTGCTGCTGCAGCTTTCTAATAAAAGGACCTGCACGTTTCTCCTCCCTGTCTTCACCAGTGCTTTTGAGAACCAGCAGAACTTCTTAGCACATAAATGGTAAGTAACTTCTTTTATACTTAAGCTATAGTTCTCTTAATTATAATTCTCTTAATATCTAGGTTTAAGCACATCTGCTTGCTCAGAGGTGACACAACTTAGGAGAGTGAAAAGTTTTGCTCCCGATCCATTTGCAGCGTAACCCAACTTTCTCTCTCATTAATCTAAACTTCCTTATACAAGTCCCCATAGCAAACATTTTCATAGAAAAGCAATTTAAACATTAAGTCATTGCACTAGATGGGTTTCAAGATGTATTTGAAAACATTGCAGTTTGAAATCAATCTCTTGAAATTACTTGCTCTGACAATATCATGTGGCAAGAAGTATGAGAACAGCTGGTCTTGAAACTGCTAATGTACCCCACCACTTTAATGGAATTGGGGGTCAGACAACATAGAATGTTGAAATGTTTTAGAACTCTCCTCTCAAGAATTCAAATTCTGCAAGTACATTAGGTCTTCTTGAGAATTTTGCCTGAAGTGTTGCCATTTTCACTGCTGTGGCTGCATCACAGAATTAAATGCAAATTTGCATTTTTTTAAGACCTAGCATGCAAATTGTATGTCCTAGACAGAGACCTAGCATAAAAGTTATTTTAAGATTACATACACAGCAGTGTTTCTTCAGGTTTTTTTGTTGGTTTTTTTTTCCGTAACAGTTGCCAGACAACTAAGTTCAGAGAACTAAAACCACTTCTGAAAATTTTGTGACATTACAGGAAAAAAACCTCTTTCCACTGTAAAATATTCTAAATAAACTTTTTTATGGCATTTCTTGTTGCAATGACAAACAAGTTGAAGACTAAAGTTTTATCATTACTTATCAGTGATAACCATCTCCCTAAACGCCTTCATGTGACTGCTTCTCCAACCCACATACTTCTAGTTTTCCTTTGTTGGTCAAGGCTGATTTTATCCTTCACATTGTACCTTCCTGGTCAGCAATAAGCTTAGAGAAATTAAAAACTATTCAATGAAAGCAAAGAAAACCATGAAAACAAGAAAGGTTTGAAAACAACCTGTTACTGCATTATTGCGATTTCCAGTTAATAGTAATTTATTTGTGTAATACTGATTTGTGAATAGCCAAGAAAAGGAAAAAAACACATTTATGTGAAGGTACAGATATTAAAGACAAGCCACTGCAATAATACTGTTTCACAGGTTTACTTATAACACAGCACATAGCCAAATAAATATTATTAATTAATGAATGCTTTTTAATTGAGAACTAGAGTGAGTTGCATGTGAGAGATTTGAATTTTTTAAAATTAACAGAGATGAGTTAAGACTTCCTTTAATATACTTCTATGTACTTTATGTCAACACTGAGAATACTTAGCTATGCTTACCTCTCCCTGTACCTTAGTTAAAATTTTTTCTATGCTAGAAATCCCAGTCCTAAGAAGTGAACTTAAAAAACTTACTTATTTCTATAGATAAAGAAAATTCTAAAGTTTGTAGGAAAATGCAATAGTTGATTTTTAAAACAACACAAAACAGTAATAATGCTGTAATTACAGAAATATTTATTTGTGAGTACTCTACACTATCTGATCTTTCTTGCCTGCAGATTACTTAGACATATTATTTTATGATATCTGGCTGAAACTCCTTCTATACAGCTACACCAATACTTGGTGCATTTATTCCTTTTAGCTACTGCCTTTTATGTTTATACCACATTAGACTGCAGGCTATAAAGCAGACAGACACTTGAACGGAGATTTAATTCTTAAAATCCCTGTCTTTTTGCAGAACAGCTAAAACCCCTTTGCAAATGATGGCTGCAACTCCAGCTGATTTACCAACCATTGGTCCACACAAGGAAGAATTTTGGAGTAACCAAACCAACCTGACCATAAATGCCTCAGAAAGCCACAATGATGCCAGCTGCACCGTGGATGAGAATAACTCACTGTCACTTGCTTTGATAGTTTTTTACTCCATTATTTTTGTTGTTGGATTGGTTGGAAATATTGTAGCCCTGTTTGCTTTCCTGGGCATTCATCAGAAGAGGAATTCTATCCAAGTTTATTTGCTAAATGTAGCTGTTGCAGACCTCCTGCTCATCTTCTGCCTTCCCTTCCGAATCCTCTATCATGCCACCAACCGCTGGATGTTCGGGAGGATTTTTTGCAAGGTTGTGGGAACTCTGTTTTACATGAACATGTACATTAGCATAGTACTGTTGGGACTAATTAGTCTGGATCGTTATATAAAAATAACTAAGTCTGTGAAGCGTCCAAAGATGCTAACCACTACCCGGAGCGTGCAGATCTGTTGCACGGTGTGGGCGATTGCACTGACAGGATTTGTAGTGGTAGTTGCACCATCTTTCTTTAAGACTGAGGACAGAAACTCTACCAAGTGCTTTCATTACCGAAGCAAAAAGAATGCAGAGAAGACAGAAGCAATTTTAAATTATATCACTGTACTGATTTTTTGGATAGTTTTTTTCCTTTTGATACTTTCGTATGTTAAAATTGCCAAGAACCTTCTGAAAATTTCAAGGAGAAGGGCAAATTTTCCCAATGCAGGAAAATACACCAAGACAGCAAGAAATTCCTTCATTGTTCTCATAATTTTCACCATCTGTTTTGTGCCTTATCACATGTTCCGGGTTGTCTACATCACATCACAGCTACAAAACCCATCCTGTTACTGGATGGAGATCATTCACACGTGCAATGAGGTGATGCTCATATTTTCATCATTTAACAGCTGCCTAGACCCAGTTATGTATTTCCTCATGTCCAGAAGCGTCCGTAAGACTGTATTCCAGCTGATTTGCAGAAAGCTTCATGGAGAGTCAAGCCTAAACCTGGAGAGCACTTCAGACATAAAACTTGGCCAATATGCTCAAGAGAGATTATCTAGCACCACTCCTCACTCCAGCTACTCAAGGAAGAAGTCTGTGATTTGAATGTTTAAATGGATCTCTGTCACTCCAGGTCACCAATTTCAGATCACAAAATCCTCTACTCTACAGCTACTAATTCTGTCTCTTTCCTCCTGTTAAGAAAAAAGAGAAGTCGTACTTCTGGTTTGTGAAAATGAGAAGTTACTTTTCAGAAGAATTTTTTTGCTCTTGTTTATCCAAGAAAACAAATTAGGAAGTTCTCAGACATTTTGTGTCGGACTAAACTAGAACACTAACTCTTTAGGGACATTTCCACAAAGGGGTTTGAACCTGTAAAAGTAAACTTGTATATACACATTAACATTAGTAGCTCGTGTGTGTAAATAACAGATGAATTCTGCAAGAAGTAAATTCTGTCTTATTT